AAGTTAGATTTTATAACTCTGGACAAAAAGATGGGGGGGGGGATGAGAAATGTCTCAACAAATGTATTAATGGTTTTTGAAGATCAACTGAGGATCTCATTCATAAAGCAACACAATTTACCGGCCGTAAGAGCCCTTACAGAGGCCAAAGGACTTTACAGAAGGGAGTCCTGGATAAAGACACTGAAACGCTGCTGCTTTACAGGGGAAATTGTCAACACATTCAGCACCCCAGTCAGTGACAAAAATACCCCATGGCCTCCAAAGTCAGGTTCTGTCCTTGTCCTTGGGGCTGTCCAACCTATTCAGACTTTGCTGTATTGTCTTAGATAGGGTTTCCATTGCTGTCATTAAACACCATGCCCAAAAGCAACCTGGGGAAGAAAGGGTTTACTTCGCCTTGCAGCTTATAAGCCCACCATCCAGGGAAATCAAGGCAGGAACTCAGGGCAGGAACCTGGAGGCAGGAACTGATATGGAGGCCATGGAGGAATGCTGCTTACTGGCTTGCTCCAAGAAGGAAGAACCAGGACACAGTCATGTTGTGGAACAGTTAACTATGTCTTTACATTTGTTACATTTGTTTCTGCTGTGGAATATCACTTTAACTGTGTAAAGGTGTGTTGCATTTGTTTATGCTGCATTTGTTTAACTATGTAAAGATGTGTTACATTTGTTTATGCTACACTTGTTTAATTATGAAGGTGCGCTGCTGTTTCACCTTGCCTGCCTAGGGCACCTGATTGGTCTAATAAAAAGCTGAACAGCCAATAGCTAGGCAGAGGAGGGATAGGCGGGGCTGGTGGGCAGAAAGAATAAGTAGGAGGAGGAATCTAAGCTTGAGAGAGAATGAGGGAGATAAAGAGGGAGACACCTGGGGCAAGCTAGCCAGCCACCAGCCAGCAGACACAGAGTAGGGCATACGGAAAGAAAGATAAAAAGTCCCAAGGGAAAACGAAGATGAAGAAAAACAGGTTAACTTGAGTTAAAGGAAAAAAGCTAGCCAGAAATGAGCATAAGCTAAGGCCGGGCATTCATAACTAATAAGAAATCTCCATGTCATGATTTGGGAGCTGGTTGGTGGCCCAAAAGAAAAAGCCTGGCCCGGCAGTGGTGGCGCACACCTTTAATCCCAGCACTCGGGAGGCGGAGGCAGGCGGATCTCTGTGAGTTCGAGGCCAGCCTGGTCTACAGAGTGAGATCCAGGACAGGCGCCAAAACTGCACAGAGAAACCCTGTCTTGAAAAAAGAAAAAAGAAAGAAAGAGAGAAAGCAAACCAGCCTGGTACACACACAGTCAAAAACTGAACAAAGCAACTCCAAACTCCAAACATGCAAATAGCTCAGCGTTCCAATGTCAGGGGTTCACTCACAATATTCTGGGCTCCAAAGGGCTTGGATAGCCACACTCTGCTGTTTACAGCCAGCTCAGGCTGCTCCACTCCATCGGCTGGAGCTGTCTTTGGTGACTGTCGCATGGTACTGGTATTTCCAATATGCTGGGGTCTCTGGGGCACCCTCATCAATAGCCTATCCTGGGCTTTCTTCAGCCACACGGTGCCAAGCCTCAGCTTCGCTCTATGACCCTTTCAATCCCAAAGCTTCTATTGCAATGGAGGCTGCCCCTTCACCAATGGCCTCTCCTGGCCTCTCACAGTGCCGAGCCTCAGCTGCTCCTCATGACCCCTTAATGCCTTTGAAACCAATACTGCTTGGAAAACTCTACATCTTACCCAGTTTGGCTGCCAGCGTAAGGGATAGCCTTGGCAAGCTCAGGACCGCAGCCTCTTTTGTGCTGAAGCCTAGGAAAAGCTTTCAGAAGATTCTGCCTCAGTGATGCTGGTCTCTTCTTAGTAACAACTGATTGTTCAGGCCCCGCTGACCAGTATGAGTGAATTCCAGTAAAGCAGAAGTTTCACTTTAGTGGTTCTTAATTTGATGTCAATGGCTCCAACAATCTTTAAGGAACTCTCAAAACTTCCCTCTGAACCTCACAAGCCAGGCCTCCACGGTCTGTCTGCACTGCTCTCAGCATAATCTTCCAAGTCCCCACAATATCCCACCAAACTCTGAGCACTCGGCGGCCTTTCCAACCCAATGTTCAAAGGCTACCACAGTCCTCCGCAAAACACATGGTCAGGTCTGCCACAGCGATACCCTCCCCTCCAGCCTGGTACCAATTTCTGTCTTCCAGTTTCTATTGTTGTGACAAAACATCATGACCAAAGGAAACCTGAGGGGGAAAGGGTTTATTTAAGCTTACAGTTCAACATCACAGTTCCTTATAACAGAATACTATCCAGCAATAAAAGAAAAAAATCAAACTGTGGATGCAAGCAACAAAGATGAATATGCAGAGAATTATTGTGAGAGGAAAAACATGCCAATCCCAAAAGGTTACATTCTGTAGACAGAGTCTATCTGTATGACATTAATTGTAACATCTACACTACAGTGTCACTGTTGGCTGTCGGAACATGTCCATCCCACCAGAACCTCCTTTGTTAACTTTTGTAGACACACACACTTCCCCTCACCTCAAGCTCCCCTAAGCCCCTGGTAATGACCAGCAGCCACTGAGAATGGCTAGGCCACTATGCCCTATCCCCTATCCCAACCCAGAGTTTCTAACCCCATATTAATGTTTTTGTTTTGTTGTTTGTTGTTATTGTTGCTGAATGTGTGTGTGTGTGTGTGTGTGTGTGTGTGTGTGTGTGTGTGTGTGTGTGTGTTTTGAGACAGTTCTTACAACATAGCCTAGGCTGGCCTGGAACTTGTAACAATCCTCCTGCCTGTCTCCTGAGTGTAGAATTACAGTGATATATCACCACATTCAGCTAAAATATTTTTAATGAAGGTAAAGCTTCTCAGGTCTTCCACTTGAGACTGAAGCTGGCAAAAAGAGAGTTCACTTCCTTTTCTGGTGTTTGATATGTAATAGGGAAATACACAGACACACACACACACACACACACACACACACACACACGGTGTGTGTGATCACGAGATGAACTTCTTGATCTTGGATTCTGCTTTTATGGTTTGTTTGTAAAATACAGGAAAACAAATGCACCTGTAGGTTCTTGGCTTTTCTATAGGAGAAAATTACCGAGAATGCCTAACACAGGGAGCCGGAGGGCACTCAGTGGTCCAGAGCACTTGTTGCTCAATCATGAGGACCGGAGTTCAGGTCCCAGCCTCCACATCAGCACCCACAACTGTTTGTGACTCCAGCTCTAAGGGATGGATCTTTTAAAAGAAAGATTACTCTGCTGTTGTAGGGGACCAGGAAGGTTTTAGTGGGTGTTATGGGGTGAATGGAGTCCATTCCAAGATATTTTGAGATCATAGCCATATCCATATGAATCTAACCTTTTAAGGAATCGAGGATCCTTGTCAATAATCAAATTAAGGTGAGGTCATTAACAGGATTCTTTTTTTTCATGATAGAGTTTCTCTGTGTAACAGCACTGGCTGTCCTAGAACTCACTCTGTAGACCAGGCTGGCCTCAAACTCACAGAGATCCACCTGGCTCTGCCTTCCAAGTGCTGGGATTAAAGGTGTGTGCCACCACCGCCCAGCTCATGGGTTAATTTAAAATGTAAGCGCTAGCTAGTAACCAGCCTGAGCTATTGGCTGAGCATTTATAATGAATAATAAGTCTCTGGGTGGTTATTTGGGAAGCGGCTGGCAGAACAGAGCTGATTGTGGTCCTGATGAAAAGCCGCACCTACCACATTCCTCAGGAAGTTGTGAAGCCAGTGTCCTCTATCAAAAGGAGTCCTTTCCCTTACCTCTGGCAGAAAGAATAGATGGCTGCTACCTGTGGTGTCTCTCAGCATACGAACGCTCACGCTGGCCTCCAGGCTCCTTCAGAATCCGTACCTGTTATACATTTCAAAGTCCATGCCAGCAATCTAGCTCTTCTCACCTGCTCCTCTACCCTAAACTGCCCACAGCTCACAGACTTCCATCCCCACAGCTACTCATTCTCCTTATAACCCTGCTATTCTCGCTATGTTCTCTCTCGGCTCTGCTCCTGCTTCTCTCACTGTTTTCTCTGTTCTCCATTCCCTGTGATTCTCCCCTCCCTTGCAGACAGCCCTGGGCCATGTCCAGTCTGCTGGCCATGCCCAGTCTACTTTCTCTCTCTGCCCTGGATTCTTCCAGATGCCTCTAGCTGTTCTCTCTCTCATATCTACAATAAAACCCTCTGTTTAACCATACCACGAAGAAGTCAGGTCATCGGATTATACACTTAAGCCATCGGTTTGTGTCACGTTGTAGAAAACAACCCAGGCGGCTCTTGTCACCACCCAGGCTCATTCAGGGTCTGAAAGTGGAGGTATGAAAGGCAGGCAGCCACAAGAGGTATGGGTATGATGCTTTCTGGTTTGCAGGACTTAGCTATCTTTCACAAAGGCCGCGAGGAGCTGGGGCCAGAAGTTGGTTTGAGAGAGGCAAAGAAAGCACGGGCCTGTAGACCTAGCTGTGGGACTCACCGGGGACAAGGACATCATTACTTATTTGGGCACCACGGTGTCCAGCTGCAGGCAGGCTGCCAAGGAAGCTGACCTCTAACTCAATCGCGTCCCATAACGCCCACGGACAAACACTACCGACTAAAAAAAGAACCAGACCCCTAAACCATCTTCAGTGAGCAGCCTACTACGAGACTCAATCTGGGGCCAGTCCGGATTGGGTGTCTTGATTGTCAATCGTCTGAGCAGACCGCAGAGTTTGATTGGTGGAGGCTGACCCCGAGGGTGGGACGAGTCAGAAACACGCTTCCGGCGTCGCGCTGGGGCCGCCGGGAGTCCAGAAGGAGCACCCAATAGCCGTGGCTCAACGCTGCGGGGGCTCGCCGGGGAAACAGGGCCAAAGCCAATGGCAGTGGTTGGACGGACTCACGTGACCAGGAGCCCAGGAGAAGGACCAATGGCGGTGGCCCGGCGGCCGCGCGGGGGCCGCTGGGAACCCGGAAGTCCGCTGAGCCGCCATGGGTGTCCACTGTGTGGCAATCGGCGCCTGCGGGCGAGGTAAGATCGATACCGGCGTCCCGCCGATGGCCGTTCGCGCTTGTGGGGCTGCGGCGGCCGGGGCGGCCGTGGCGGCGCTGCTCTCGGCCGCGATCGCGCTCCACTGGCCGCCGCTCCACGCAGGTACCGGCCGGGGCCGCCCCTGCGGGCGGGTGGGCCCGAGTCAGGCGCCGCGGCCAGCGGGTGGCCCTGCGGGGCCGACTCTGCCGGGCGCGTGCGCGTCCCGCGCTGGGGAGCCGGTGCAGCCGGCCTGACTGAGGACGGGGCTGCCCTGCTCCCGTGAATTGTTGGGGGCCTGGGTGGGCTCGACCTAGCGCGGGAGACGCCAGCCGTTCCGTGAGCAGGGTCGTGGGCTGGCTTCACTGGCCGGTACCGGTGCCCTAGCTCAGAGCTTGCAAGTTCTTGGAGGAGGTGGGAGGAGTCAAGGTGTGGCTCACCCTCTTTCCTGTACCTTACGTTTGGGGGACTGTGTTCTGGGGGGCTTCTTTGAGAGATGGGCTGATTCAGGTGACTTGCGGGACTCGGTGCCCCAGTTAGACACTTTTCTTTTTAAGTTTCACTACGTAACCCTGGCTTTGTAGACCAGCCAGACACATCTAAGGCTGTCCCAGCAGTTGGAGTAGGAGGTAGGGCCCTTTTCAGATAGGACACACTGGAGGAAGAACTCCGTGGATTGAGCAAATGGGTCATTCGGCTCTCTTATCTCCTTCTATGACTTCGTTCCTTGTTTGTGGATAGTTACTTTTCTAATATTCCCTACACATCATCCCATTTCTTACATGACAAAGAGAGAGAGCTGTAGTCCACCTTTGTGTAGACAGACTATAAATAGAGGCTCTGAAGAAGTGACTGAGCTGGCATTCCCCAGGAGTGAGCGTTTGAAGTGGCGAAGTTTACTGTTTGCTGTAGGATTCATTAGAAAGGTTTGACCAAGGGCTCCACACTTGTTGATCATAGCCAAGAGTAAAATGTGGAGGAATCTGGGCTTTTTGTTTTTCAATTTAAGTAGTTGGGAATGCTCTGGAGAAGTGGTACCTCCAAGTTTGTAATGGCAGTCACACCCATAAAAAGACTTTTAAATACTCCTTTATTTAGAGACTTTTTTCCCTTGGTTTTTCTTGCCTTATGTTCAGACACTCTGATTTGTAACTTTTTTCTTTGTACTTATCTGAAGTTTCATTTCTACATTGACTTGCTAAACTGCCACAGAATGGGTAGAGCTCTGGGCTTTAGTTCTTCAAAGCCCTTTGTGCTTAGGGTGGGTCTCACTAAATGTAAGGATTGCTGCCTTATGGTCCAACTTAGAATTCACATTAACTTAAAGCACTTGGGGCATAAAAGTGGTGGTAGTTATTCTCAGCCATAGTCTCTTTAAAGCCAACAAAATGCGAACAGGTGCTACCTGTTTGTCCAGACTCTGGATTGTCTTGGTGACAAAGTTACTTATGTAAATAGCTTTTACGTTTTAAGTAGCCTCTTAATACTTCCGTGGATAAATCCACTAGGCGTGGCAGTAAGCTAACTAAAACTTGATCCAAGAGTGTAAAGTGTTGGGAAATCTAATTGACCTTCCTCCAGCCTTTTACCAACAGAGATCTCTGTCTTGATGTAAAGTGACTGACTCTTCAGTTTATTCAAGTTATCCTAATGTGCCCTATTGTGGAACAGATTAATAGTCATGGGGCAAAGACAGAAAACGTATCTTCAGTGACAGCAAAGCAGGAAAGCTTGTGCTGGTCTCAGATGTCTTCTTGTACTCTTAGCATTCCCTACTTTTTGGTATAGACTTCTAGTTTGCTGCCTGTTGCTGTGATAAACACCATGACCAAAAGCAACTTGTGGAGAAAAGGGTTTATTTCACCATTTCCAGGTTACAGTCATCTTTAAGGGAAGTCAGGAAGGAACTCAAGACAGGAGCTGAAGCAGAGTCTATGGAAGAACTCAGTTTACTGGCTCAGCTGACTTTCTTATACCACCCATTGTAAACAGACGGTTCTGGCCTGCCCACCAGTTCCCAAATAACCACTCAGAGGCTTAATTATAAATGCCTGGCCAGTAGCTCAGGCTTATTACTAACTAGCTCTTACGCTTAAATTAACCCATAATTCTTTTTTTTTAAAGGCTTCATAGTCTTTTTTTTTTTTTTTTTTTTTTTTTTTGGTTTTTCGAGACAGGGTTTCTCTGTGTAGCTTTGCGCCTTTCCTGGAACTCACTTGGTAGTCCAGGCTGGCCTCGAACTCACAGAGATCCGCCTGTCTCTGCCTCCCGAGTGCTGGGATTAAAGGCGTGCGCCACCACCGCCCGGCGGCTTCATAGTCTTTTATTAGTTATCCAGTGACTTCCTCCGAAGCTGTTAAGATCAGTATCATCTACATTTTATAGCTGGATTAGCAAAGATTCAGAGAGAATGCCCTGCTACCAGACTAGTCGAGATGTGTCCCTCTGACTCACTGTCTTGTAAGGATGAGTCCCCAAGATGATTTAGGTGACTCCTGGCTGGAGTACATAGCAGCTGGGATAATTCTTATCTATGTTTAGCCATGTGTCTTGGTACCTTTTCTCAGTATAACATTCTCATCTTGCTTCCTCTTTGTCTGGTTGGCAACTCCTGAATCCGCTCTCCCTCTTCCCAGCATTCTTAGTTTGGTTGCCCCACCTATATTTCCTTCCTGGCTACTGGCCAATCAGCATTTTATTAAACCAATTCTAGTGACAAGTCTTTATAGTGTACAAGAGGATTATTCCACAGCAACCTAGTACCACCTGCCTGGGGATGGCATTGCTTCCAGTGAGCTGGGCCTTCCTACATCCACAGCCATGGCCACAGGCTAATCTGATCTGAGACTCCCTCTTCCCAGGTGATTCTTGATTGTTTCAAATTGATAGAAAAATAAAAACTAACCATCACAAGAGGCCTGTGGATTTAGTGATACCATTTGGGAAGTTTGCTTAATGCAAGAATGTTAGGCCACACTCAAAAGTTAAAATAAGTAAAAAAGTCTCTAAAATAGCCCAGGATAATTTGGCCCTTGTCTTATAGCATTCTCTCCACGAGTCAGCTCACCAGACGGTATAGGAGCCTGCTGTGGTGGACACAGCTGTTTCAGAACACTGGCAGGAGTCAGGAGAGCAGGGCAGAGTGCTGGTTCCTAGTTGGGATTTATCTATCTGTCTATCTATCTATCTGTCTATCTATCTATCTATCTATCTATTCATTCATTCCAGAGCTGAGGACTGAACTCAGGGCTAGGCAAGTGCTCTACCACTGAGCTAAATCCCCAAACCCTTAATTTATTTTTATTTCATGTGCATTGGTGTATTGACTGCATATATCTGTGTGAGGTTGTTGGATCCCCTAGAACTGGAGTTACAGACAGTTGTGAACTACTGTGTGGGTGCTAGAAATTGAACCCGGGTCCTCTGGAAGAACAGTATGTTCTCTTAACCACTGAGCCATCTCTCCAGCCCCGTGGTTTGGATTTTACTTGGCATTCATACAGTTCTAGTTAAAAATGGAACATGCTGTACTTCATGACAGAGTTTTCTTTTCCCTACCAAATGATTTTAGAGAACATCTGAGAAAGATTTGATGCTTTGGGTTAATCAAGTAAATAATTTGGCTAAAGAACAAGTTATTTTGCCTTCAAGTGGCAGCGTTTTGGTAAATGGTGTAATATTCACATCTTGGTGAGCACTGAGTCACAAAGCACAGCCAGGAGATAAGAGATTGGAGCAGAGTCCATTACTTGTAGCAGGTAAAGGACACGGATTTACTCTCAGAGCAGTGCCCTCCCTGAATACATAGCGGGGAGATCGATCCTGTAGGAAAGGGCTTTAGCGGCTGGCACATCCTAGGTTACGGTGACTTTTCTGAGCATGCTCAGTTTTAGGTTATCGTTCAAGAGGGAATGATGCTAGACACATTCTGGGCTGCTTAGTTCAAGGTAGAGGGTCCTGTTGAGGGTGAAGATGACAGACGCAGACTCTTCTTGCCATGCTCAGTTTCAGTTATAAAGATGGTGGACATAAATGTTTCTAGGCATGCTCAGTGAGTCTTTACTTAGTTGTCTAAAAGTGTCCCTGGCCGCCTCTGCAAGTCTCTCCCAGTATTAACTGAAACAGAAGGAACAGCTCTAAAGGTACAATAATGGAGGTGTTTGCCCAGAGGTGCCAGCTTCACTTAGCAGCTGACCGAAACATCTTGCCACCTCTCCGAAGTCTGTTTCTCATCTGTAGGTAGATGGTAATTGCTGCTACTGAGCAGGATGGCCTTAGGCATTCAGCCTGGCACTTCTCACCCACAGTGATCAGATGATGGTACAATGTGCTTTAGCCTGAGCGTAAGGAGGGGTTGGGAGAGAGAGGTGGACAGGAATGGGATCGAGGTTTCAGAGGGGTGAGGGGAGGCTCAAGGGGAGGGCAGTGTTTCCTCAGATGCCACTACTCCTGGGACAAACATGGGCTGTCTTTTCTCTCTCTGCAGTGGACATTGAGTCCTGTGAGGTGACACAGTCATGCTGAATGTTGTCATTCAGGTGTATCCCAGGGCACCAGAGAGGGCCTGTGCTGTTGCTGTTGTGTGTGGTGAGGAGAGTCCAGGCTGGGAGTGCAGGATGAACCTGTGGGAAGGAGCAGTGGAGACAGGAGGTGGCTTGTGATCACAGGCTGCAGGGACCGGCTTCTTCTCAGGGCCTCAGGAGCCTTTCTCTGCCAGAGGTTCCCTGTAGGCTCGGGAGTTGGGGAAGGTGGTTGGGTGTGGAGATCAGTTCTGTCTTTACATTTGGGTATCTGTGCATGTACATGAGCGTCAGGGGGAGACTCCAGTCCATAGTGCTCACCACCTAAGCACGAAGACCTGGATCCTGTCAGAACCCTAGGACCCTGGCCAGCCAGTCCGTAGTCAGAGAGCCTGGCTCCAAAGGGAGTGAAGTGCTTGCTGCTCAGGCATGGGGACTCTGGTGCTGGGGAGTCAGATAAGAGGATCCTGGGACCTGCTGTTCAGCCCGTCTAGCCAAATTCAACAGCTCCAGGCTCAGTGAAAGACCCTGGCTCAGAAAGTGAGGTGGAGAGAGTGACAGAGGAGAACATCCAACATTGACCTCTGGTCTACACACACACACACACACACACACACACACACACACACACTTGCACACTTACTCCTTCCCCGCCCACACACAAAGGAAAAAAAAAAAACCAAGGTGGACAGCTCCTGAAGAACAGTACCAAGGTTGACCTTTGGCCCTCATGTGCGTGTGTGTGCATGCACACCCCCCACCCCAGCCACACCCCATGGGAAATAATGGAATATTTTATTGAGTAAAAAAGGGTCAGGCAGGAAGAGTCTGAGGTGACTTTCCCCCAAGGAACTGCAGGAGCTTTGTCCTGAGTGGATCTTGTCGGCCTTTGATTTAGGAAAACAGTGTTTCCAGGGATCCTTAAATTCTATAGAATCTGTAGGTAGTGCATAGAATCACGTTTTATGACCCTAGAGACTGTGTGCATTGGGTTCTGTGGCATATACCAACATTTCCTTACAGCTGATCTGGTGTAGTTATTAAGACAAAATACGCATCTCCAGGACGCTTTTCAGGAAGGGCCAATTACAGGGAGGCAATCCGACACAACGAGGTGCGGTGTTGTGCGGGTGTGGGTACACACGGGTCCGTGGAAGAAGACACAGCACTGTGAGGATGTCTTCGCCTTTCCAGATGCAGGAGGACTCGGCCCTTTCCTGGACTGAGACCCCTTCCCTTAGCCAAGGGCATTTTTATTGTTCTCCAGATTTACACTTGAGCAAGTTGATTTCCATATCCTCAAAACAACCAAAAAAAAGAGACAGTGCCAAATGCAAACACTCAGTGAAGGACTATCACAGTGTGCTGGAGTCTTCCAAAACAAGTTTTGCATAGGCATTGTACCCTTGGGAAACTCTGACTAGAGTCACCTGGAGGGCGACAAGAGAAGCAAAGGTAACCGAGACACAAAGGGTGGATTTGGGCTAGGTGCTGCGCTCTGGAGCCAGGCCAGGTGTAGCCGGGGGAGTTCTATCAGTGCGGTTGCTCCACAGTGCCACCTTGAGCCTGAGCTGAGATGTGCAGTGTTTAGAGCCTTCCTAGGTCATTTAATTAGTATCCACTGAGTGTGGAAATGCAGTTGGGAACAATAGGGTCGATCTGTCAGACTTGGCTGTGGGGCAGGGTTGCAGATGGGAGCTTGCTTTCCAGGTGTGAAGAGAGAGAGCCCTCACAAGCTTTAAAGGTTAGAGTTGAAATGTGGCGGTCTATAGCTTGATAAACTTCTGGAAGAAGTGTCCCCACAGTGTCTGGGTTCGTTACAGAGGGCCCCGGCACAGTGTGCTGCTGTCAGGCTGTCTTTTCTGACCATCGCTCCCCCCAGAAGAGAACTAAGAGCGAAGCCTCCAGATGAAGTGGGTTCATGGGGCAGCTCTGGGAAGCGCATTGGATGGTGGGATACTCTCAAGTCTCTAAGGACTTCATCTTTCTGTTTTGCAGTTTTACAAAGAGCGTTCTCCCTCCACCCAGCACACTCGACAAAGGACATGGAGAATTTTTTCCAGTTGGTGAGAAACATTGTGCCTGCTCTGACCTCGAAGAAGCACAAGGGGCAGGACGGAAGAATAGGCATAATCGGGGGCTGTCAAGAGTGAGTGCTGGAGAAAGGCCGTCCCCCTGCCTGTCTGTCTGCCTCCCTCCGCCATCCATCTGTGCACCTACCTTTCTTTCCCCCATCGGTCCATCTGTCCATCCATGTGCGGTGATCATTTGCAATGCAGTCTGATAGAGTGTAAAGTACTTCTCTCTGATCACCTTCCTGACTAAATAAGAAAGGGTCTGAGCAGCCCAGCCGACGGGCCCGCTGCTGAGCGTTAGTGTGGCCATGCTTTGGGTCTCTCACCCTAGTGTGTGTCCATGTGCTGTGGAGTGCTGTGAGCTCCCGTGGGCCTGTGCGGCCTTTGTACAGGTTTTTGCACGTGTTGGTTTCCATACTGCACACTGTGCTGTCTTCACAGCAAGAAGGAGTTCCCAGCAGGCCTTAGCCTGCTGGGCAGTTTGAAAGTGTGTCTAAAGTGCATGACTTTGTGTAGGTCCTCGTTTTGTTGAGACTCATTTTATCTTCTCTCTTTACGGCTGTGTGCAGTGTGTCAGGATCTGTAATCTGTCCCTGTGTGTGAGTCCTTCTGCCTGGCCCCAGCTCTTCCCTTGCTCCTGTTTGAGAGTCTGCCCACACTTACGTCACTCCTCTGTGCACAGATAGCTGCACTATTCTTGAGACAGTTTCCCACCAGGCTAGCCTCAAACTCACAATCCTCCTGTCTCCTCCTCCCAATGCTGGGATTACAGGTGTGATCCCACTGAGCCTCGCTGTTTATCCCCCTGGGTTTCCAGCCTTCGTTCCCATCTGTCTCAGGTTGGCTGGTGATTGATTTGAAATGGCTTCCTACTTGGACATTCAACCTGTGGTCACCTTGTCCACGTACCACTGCGCTTCACAGTCTGCAAAGCAGCGGGTGAGAGCTTTGGGGCAGGGCTGCCGAGTGCTTCCAGCCGCCAGCTCTGCTTCCCTCTGAATTTTCACTCATAACTGGATTCAGAATTTCCAGCTGGCTAGACGGTGGTGTCGGTGGTGGTGTACGCCTTTAATCCCAGCACCTGGCAGGCAGAGGCAGGCGGATCTCTGTGAGTTCGAGACCAGCCTGGTCTACAGAGCGAGATCCAGGACAGCCAGGACTGTTAAACAGAGAAAGCCTCTCTTGAAAAACAAAACAGAACAAAAATTCCCGCTGAAGTCTTAGCTGGTAGATTTCGATGTGTATATAGATGGTGGGCTGTGTTGGGTTCATCCTCCTGCCTCCCTGCGGTTCATCAGGAGGTAGGAGTGCTTTGGCAGCAGGTGAGCCCCGCGTGCCCTGGTGTGCGTGGTGGAGACCGGCTGCCTGTAGGCTTCTTAGCAGCAGTGATAGCGCCGGCTGTGGTCATCGGGAGGAGACCCATGCCTTCTGGGGACCCAGTTGGTTTGCATTGTAAGTACTGTCATCTGACACTGCTCATCCAAATCATCTGCTCTAGAAACCGCCATTTCTCTGGGGTAGGTCTGGATGGATGACTTCTGGTTTGGAATGTTCCATTAGTCTGGCTTAAGACTCCCCTCAGGTGTTGGCTTCTGTTTCCATCTCCACTGTCCTCTCCCTGGTGGCTTCCATGTGCTGTGTGGAGGACTGTGAGCTCCTGTGGGCCTGAGCGGCCTTTGTCCACTCTGCAGTGCCCTGTTATGAAGAACCCTGCCTGTGGGAAAGTGAGAATATGTGTGGTCCCTGTGTGGTCCTTTCTCTGGTGATTTGGACACACTTTGCGGAAGAGCAGGTCATGTGGAGAAGGGCCCGGGGTCCTGTGTGCTCAGCGTTTGTCCCTGGTTTGTTTCGCAGGGGTGGGCACAGACGTCAGCACATACCAGTGGCCATGAGCACAGTCACTCTGCATGTGAACACCTTGCCAAGCATGCCACTGTGCTTAGAGATTGCCGGGGGCCGTGAGAGCGTGGACAGGAAGCTGGGAACCACACAGCAGGGTGCAGTGGCTAGTGTGGCTCGAATGGCCCTGTGTGGCTTCTGTGGCTTCTGCTGGTGTCACTCATAGAAGACAGGGGTCTACTCTGAGGACCTGGTCTCTGCTGACTGTCTTGAGTTGGTGGTCACCCCCACCTCGTCCCCGGCAGAAGCCTGCAGCTCTCTCTCTAGCTCTTCTTGTACATGGTAGACTCTCACAAGCCAGTGTTGAGAAACGATCCCAGGTTTCACGTGAGGCTTTTCTAGTTCCAACTCGTGTGTGAACGTTTACGGAGCATCTCCTACCTGTTGAGTTTGTGTTTGGGGCCTGGAGTCTGTATCACTTGTTGATAATTCACATCTATCCACATATTTTTCTTCTTTTTTTTTTTTTTAAAGATTTATTTATTATGCATACAGTATTCTGCCTGCATGTGTCCCTACATGCCAGAAGAGGGCACCAGATCTCATTACAGATGGTTGTGAGCCACCATGTGGTTGCTGGGAATTGAACTCAGGTCCTCTGGAAGAGCAGTCAGTGCTCTTAACTGCTGAGCCATCTCCCCAGCCCCCCCCCCACACATATGATTCGTATCTGTTTGCATTGGTACCTGTTACTGGCAGACACGTGTTTGCTTCACTGACGACTTGACTCCAATGTTTCCATTTTAGGTACACAGGAGCACCATATTTTGCAGGAATCACAGCTCTGAAAGTGGTAGGTTTACCTCAGAGTCTTTTATTGGGGTTTCTCTGAATAAAAGTTGGGTTATTTAGGGACCTGGGCAGATGGCTGCACAGCTTAGAACACTTGAAGTACACTCAGTAGGGCCTGAGTTCATATTCCCAGCACCCACTAAAAGCCTGGTGTGGCCATCCATGCCTGTAACCTCAGCATTGTTTTGTTTTGTTTTTTTGTTTGTTTGTTTTTGTTTTTTTTGAGGGTGTTTTTTGTTGTTGTTCTTGTTTTTTTTGAAGGTTTATAAAGTGACTTTTTTTTAAAATTACATTTGTGGTATTCATTGATTACATTCGCAGTATTCATTCAATATTAATATTTATGATATTCATTAATTACATTAATTGTATTGATTTATTACATTTGTGGGGGGTTTTCCATCACACAAAACAGAGATTCTGTACTTAGTAAATCACTGCTCTATATTCCTTTCTTCTCTATCTTGAGATAACGTCTAATCTTTCTGTCTCCATAGACAGAATTTGTATATTTGTATATATTTCATGTAATACAATTCTATAGTATTTGTCCCCTTTTTTTGGAATGTAAAAACATTTTATGGACAACTTCAGGAGTAGTACACAGACAGCCTGAACATAAAAACATAACCTCAGCATTGTTGAGGGCAGAGACAGGAGGATTCCCTGAGGTCTACTGACCACCAGCCTAACTTCAGGTTCAATGAGAGACCCTGTCTCAGGGGAGTTTACCTTCTAGAGCAGAACGTGACAGCTTTGGGCACTCTATGCCCGCTCAGAGCTGAGGGTTGACTTGCAATTTACTTCACCAAGAGGATCCTGGGAGGCCTCTGTAGGTTGTGATGTCAGCAGCTGGTGTCTCTAATCCAGCTAAGCAGTTGGTATAAAGGGTTGAGTAGGCTGAACCGGACCAGGCGGAGTTGGTGCAGTGGTTCTGTGCCTGTGCGGCGTCCCCCCCCCCCCCCCCCAGCCTGGAGGGGAGAGAAGTCTGCTGTATCCCCTAGCATCTTCTTCCTCAAAGCCACTGGCGTCTGCTTTCATCAGTGTTTGGGCTTGGGGGCATAAACACTCAGTAACAGAGGTGGTCAGACATCATATGCATGGTGTGAGAGCTGGAGCGGAGAGCTACTTGTGGTCCTGTTGAACGTGGCCTTCTCTAAGCACACCTCTCATTTCACTTCCCAGGGTGCAGATCTGACTCACGTGTTCTGTGCCAAGGAGGCTGCGCCTGTGATCAAGTCCTACAGCCCAGAGCTGATCGTCCACCCAGTCCTGTGAGTGCACTGTGGGTGTCTGCCTGCAGCTGTGCTCTGGGTGCTACATAGAGTAAGAAAAGTATAATGAAGCCAGGCCTTGTGGCACTCACCTTTCACTCCAGCAAGGGCTCCGGCCAGACGCTTTCAAATCAGAGGCCAGGTTGAACTAACAGCCCTATCAAATAAAACTTTTAAAAGGTTTAGGATATAGCTCATGAAGTGGAGGTTTGATCTCCAGCACCATAAAAAAAGAAAATCATAGCAAGTCCATCATCCTGCCTCAGCTAAGACAGTGAGAGGACTAGAGGAGAGACCTGGGACACGGGAGCCACAGATGCTGTGCTATGGAGTGTCCCGGGTTGCCTGAGGCACATGCTCACAATGCTTGAGCATCCCAGGGGCCCTTCAGAGCTTCAGTGGTGACACGGCCTACATATCGCCCTGGGTGGTGCCACCAAGCACTGAAACTCAGCTGAAGGTTGGGACAGGATGGTTCTTTTGTCCCACTTTATCCACAGTGAACCATCCAGCTGGACCATCGGGACAGGATGGTTCTTTTGTCCCACTGTATGCACAGTAAACCATCCAGCTGGACCATCGGGACAGGATGGTTCCTTTGTCCCACTGTATCCACAGTGAACCATCCAGCTGGACCATCAGGACAGGATGGTTCCTTTGTCCCACTGTATCCACAGTGAACCATCCAGCTGGACCATCGGGACAGGATGGTTCTTTTGTCCCACTGTATCCACAGTAAACCATCCAGCTGGACCATCGGGACAGGATGGTTCCTTTGTCCCACTGTATCCACAGTGAACATCAAGTGGGGCTGAAGAGGTGGCCGAGCAGGACAGCACTAGCCGCCCTTGCAGAGGTCCCCATGGCAGCTCCCAACCATCCACAGTGCTAGCGTGAAGGGATCTGATCCCTCTTCTGACCTCTGCAGGTACTAGGAACACATGTGATGCACAGGCAGACATGCAGGCAGAAGCAGCCTTTAAAAGCTAAAACAAGCCGGGCATGGTGGAGCACGCCTTTAATCCCATCACTCGGGAGGCAGAGGCAGGCTGATCTCTGAGTTCAAGGACAGCCTGGGTCTACAAAGCAAGTTCCAGGAGAGCAGGGATACACAGAGATTGAAAAATAAACAAGCTAAAACAAAAAATAAACTAGTCCATGGAGAAGACTGAGGAGATAAAAAGGTCAAATGCAGGGTGGGGTCCAGACTACATCCTAGACCAGGACAGGATGGGGTTATGATCAACTGCTCAGAGCTGACAGTCTGCACTTGAATTACTGGTGATATTCTGGAATGTGCATATGTAGGATGCTCACATGAGTAGTGGCTAGGGAAAGGGGTCTGTGGGAACTTCCACAGTAGTGTACAAGTTCACTGCAAACCTCAATTATTTTCAGAATAAAATGGTTTGGAGCTGAGACATATGTTCAGGATCCTGGGTTCAGTCCCCATACCACACACTTTAAATGGTTTAAAGTAAGTAACTGGAAGCCTTGAGAAAACCACTCTGCCTTTCCCCCTTTTAGTGACAGTTCCGGTGCTGTTGAGGAGGTGGAGAAATGGCTCCCCAGGCTGCATGCCCTTGTTGTGGGACCTGGCCTAGGTAGGGACAACTTTCTTCTCAACAATGTCAGGGTAAGTAGTGTCACTGTTAAGTGCTCTACCTCTCATATGCAGTATTGGGGCGAAAGTATTTCTTTCGATCTTCGGGCTCAGCTGCACATCGTTGTTGGTCTTCGGGCCTCAGATTGGCAGTGGATGGAACTGTGTTGTGGGGCAGAGGGGAACCGAGGCCACCAGCATCAGTGAGGGGCTATTTCTTTGTAAGTGAGGTCTCTGCCTCCCAGTGCTGGGATTAAAGGCGTGTGCTACTACGCCTGTGAGTGATATTTTAAATGTTCATACACACCTTCACAGGGCTCTGCTCCTGGGTGCTGGAACTCACCCTTCTGAAAGAACCATGGCCCTTTCCAGTGTTTAAGCAATAGCTTTGGGCTGCTACTCTGCTTTGTTAGGGAAAACTAAAAGAGAACTTGGTGTCACTTTGCCAAATAGCATGAAAATCAGAAATGAACCTAAGATCTGAATGGCAGACCCCTGTGGGTTAACAGTAAAGCAGAGCACAGCAATCAGGCCGGAGTGTTGTTGAGAGGAACGGGCTTCTCTGAGGCTCATGTGCCCTGCCCTTGCTTAGGGGGCTTTTGTGTCCACACTCGGAACTCGTAGGCCAGTGCCAGACAAAATGTGTGTTTCCTCCGCTGGCACATGCCTCGGTGTGCTGACATTGTATGTCAACTTGATAGAAGCTAGAGTCATCAGAGAGGAGGGAGTCTGAATTGAGAAAAATGCCTCCATGAGACCAGCTGTAGGGCATTTTCTTAATTAGTGATTGATGGGGGAGGGCCCAGCCCGTTGAGGGTGGTGCCATCCCTGGGCTGGTGGTCCTGAGTTCTGTAAGAGCAGGCTGAGCAAGCCATCATGAGCAAGGCAGTTCTCCATATCTGCATCAGCTCCTGACTCCTTCAGTGATGGGCTATGATGTGGAAGTGCGAGCCAAATAAACCCTTTCCTCCCCAGTTTCTTTATTCACTGTGTTTCCTACAGCACAGTCACCCTGACTAGGACACCCAGGAAACACGCACTGAGAGGGTCAGGGTCTGGTTACAGTCACTCTGTCTCCTCGTGTTTTCCACTACTTGTCCATCACTTTTTCCTTTCAATCTTAAAAATGCATCTGTGTGCACATGCTGCATGTGTGGGTGTGCACGTGTCGCAGCGGCCCCACACCTGTACTTTTTAAATGGGAAGAAGCCCTTGAAGCTTTCAGCATGGGATTGAGGGTTAGTCCTGTCAGGGGAAAACGCTTCACTATTATATGATCACTTGCTAAATAAAAGCATAAAATAAAATGGTAAGAAAAGTGGATAACTGTTGATTTGGAGAATCCCCAAAAATTGAGACTTGAAATACTGAAGTATAACATGAGCTAGGTATTTGGCAGTGGCAGATGGGTCTTCATGGGCTAGCCTAGGAACCACATGCTGGGCCTGCCCCTGCTGTTTCATACTGGCTGTACTGTTTGCTTGCTTGGGACCACATAAGCACTGCCAGCTCCCTTCCTCCTCTAGAGTAGATGCACTTGTTCTGTGGGAGGTCCCCGCAGGCTTACAGCAGGCGGGGAAACGACCAGGGTGAGGAAGAATGGAACTTGGATTGGCCCGATTTTGGTAACCGGTGCTGGGCCAGGACTTCTGGAGTCTGGCCCAGATCGTTTACTTTAGCCATATTTAAGCACAGCACAACTTTGAAAGAAGCATTCAGATAACAATTACTGCAGTCCCAAGTACACAACAATTTAAGACATGTTTACACTGAGATTCTTTACAAAGTCCTTCTGGCTTTTTTCACAAAAATGGGTGCTGTTGACTCAGACAGTGCCCAAGATTTAGGGTCTGGGGAGCTTGACTGAGGTAAACAGAATGCCTGTAGGTTTCAGGATTGGCCTGTTCCTAAGATAACATAGAGTCACTCAGGCTGTTGTAAAGTACAAGTGACGTCACTCAGGAGGATGGGTTTATGGCCCAGAATCAATGCTCAAGATTTAAGGGGAGGGGTCTAGGATAAGTAAACTAATTCTGGGAGACATGGCCAGAGCCTGTCTCAGACAGCAAAGATCACCAGGCTGTGAAACTGCATCCGTTGCTGACATTCCAGGGGAGCACCTGAACCCCTCATTCCATTGAAGAGGTGAGCGGTGTCTAGCTTGCCGGCCTCTCCAGGACTTAGCCATGCGTACAAGGCCTTTTGCTGTCTATATCGTTCAGCTTGTCTGCTTTTCTGGCAGGGCATTTTGGAAGCATCCAAGGCCAGGGACATCCCTGTTGTCATCGACGCGGTGAGTGTGGCCTCTCATCTCCCCACACAGTCAGCACAGGGTCTCTGAGGCCCACCGGTGAAGGTGCATCCTTGTTCTGCACAGGATGGCCTGTGGCTGGTAGCTCAACAGCCAGCCCTCATCCGCGGTTACCAGAAGGCCGTCCTCACCCCCAACCGTGTGGAGTTCAGCAGGCTCTGGGAAGCTGTGGTGAGTTCTTAGGCTTTGGAGAAGAAGAGACCTGACCTGGGGTGAAGTGGGCTCCAGGTTGTGCCCATCTCAAGGCGTGGACCTGTCTCTGCAGGGAGACTGACGTGCAGATCCCCAGTAGATGTTTGCCCTGGGCTCTGCCACGCATGCTTTTCATGCCTCCTATAGTTCCCATAGGAATTTATCGGATGTATGATGGTGTGATGGGCTTGAGCCAGGAACCGCCTGCTGTGCTCACAGGCCAAAGTCACTCCCTGTCCTGAAGGGCTAATTTGTAAAGCTACAGCCTCTGCTCCATGGAGTATGGGGACAGAGTGAAATAAAATGAAACCATGAATCCTGATAATGCATGTCCCAAAAGCCTGTGCTCTGTGGGGGAGGGATGTGCATATCACCTCATCCAGATTTGTGTTGTTTCTACAAACCTGGACTAGCCAGGTCGAGGAGGACAAGTCTAGATTAAGCGTTGGTGTCAGCATCCCTTGGAGGGCTTGGTACCATTGAAGTCCTGGCCACTTCCTACCCTCTACCCCTCAGCCCTTAACCAGTGCCCTTGATTTCTTTGGCCATGAGCATCTGAGACTTGCGACAGACAGGATGGGTACTCACCTTGCCCCCGGTGAACCCTCTGTGTGTCCAGGAGGACTTGATTTTCTCTGCTTGTCCTGGTTTGTAGTTCAGCAGTCCGATGGACACCACAAACCAGAGTGACTCCGTTCTGAAGCTCAGCCAGGCCCTGGGGAACATCACAGTGGTCCAGAAAGGAGAACAAGACCTGATCTCCAATGGTCAGCAGGGTGAGTGCGGATTTGCCATGCTGCTCAGAGGCCACGCTGGCATGAGCCTGGAAGCCTCACTGATTCATACCTGTGGACAGACATTTAACCTGCTGGCCACAGCCTCTGTAAAGTCCTCCTGTGTTTGCTCTGGGGTTTGCACGGGGCTGTGGCGACACAAGGCATGGTGTAGACCTCACTGCAGGCTCAGCAAGAGTCCCAGACCTCGCCCTCTGGCGCGCGCACACACGCGCACGCACACACACACACACACACACACACTTTCAGGAGCAGTCTGAGACAGAGACCCTGCATAGTCCTAGGCCACCATCCCTAGCCTGTCACTTCCCTTTCACCGAGGCACCCACACGTAGTAATAGTCATTTGAGTCTTTTGTTGGATTGTGTCTTGTTATAACTGGGAAGTGGAGGAAACCTCAGCACTGACATTAGTTGGAAATGTCAGTTGCCTCCCCCGGGAGCCTAAGGGCTGCTCCGCCAAGAACAGAGTGGAGGCAGGGAGAGTGCGTGGTGTCCTGGTAAGCTTGCCACTCTGCACTCTTAGAGATGGCCAGGCCACCCGATTGTTGAGTACAAGCAGCTGTAAGCAGCTGTTAGTGAGATCTGGAGTCGTTGATAGGAACCTCAAGTCAGAGTCCTTAGAATAAAGGGACACTTGGTCCCGCATGTGAACCAACTCATACCTACAGCCAGGACAGGAAATGCACGGAGTGTTCTCAGGGTAGCCGGACCTTAGCCATGAGGCGCTCCTGAGGCCAGCACATGCAGATGCAGCCCCAGGTTGAAAACATTTCCCCAGGAAAACAGTTTTCATGTGCACAGGCATATAATGGGTAATGGCAGCATCCATGTGGGTACCCACCCAGGGATGCTGCTGGTGGGGCTTTGGAGGCGGGGCTCAGGATGTGCCCTGCGTCGACCTGCTCTCCTCAGGGGCTCGTCCTCTGGTCTGTGAGGACAAGGGGAGGGGCAGCTCCTGGCGTTGGGACTGATGCCTGCTCGTGTTTGTTCTGTGCAGTGCTTGTGTGCAGCCAGGAAGGCAGCGGCCGCAGGTGTGGTGGGCAAGGAGACCTCCTGTCGGGCTCCCTGGGTGTCTTGGTGCACTGGGCCCTCCTGGCTGGACCAGAGAAGACAAATGGGTATGGCACACCTTTGTCACCCCACTCTGATCCTGTTAATCTCGTCAGCTCTCCGGCAGCTCGTGTCACAGTCCTTTGTGTCCCAGATGAACTGTCAGTGCCCCACGGGAGACATCTGGGACCAAGGTTCACCTGTCCACAGGAGCTTCTACACATATGCTGGACCCAAACCTACCCAGAGGGTGGGGCCCTGGCACTGGGGAGAATCCGAGCAGCCATGGTTGGTTAAGGACACCCTGTGGAGAGTTCAGCAGTGCCTGCTATAAACTGGAAGTAGAGAGCAGACAGGCTGGAGGGGTGGCCCTCTGGACACTGGTCCTCATAGGTGTGTGATCTCTAAGGCAGCAGGATGCTAAGCTTACAGATTGCCCACACGTGACCTGTGCTGTGGACCATTGTGGCCACACATGCTAGGTATGCGGTGCCCAGTTTCTGGAGCCCCACTTGACACCACTGGTGCAAACGGTGTTGCAGGTGGACTTAACTTTGCTCGGTTCTGCAGGGTAATGGTGCAAAGGGTGGTTCTGGTTCGTCCTGTGGCCCAAGATGGGGTGTGCAGTGGAGTAGCAGGTCTGCATGCAGACCTCAGGCATCTGCCACATTCTAAGAAGACCAGTGAGCACCGTTACAGCCGCACCACCACAAGCGCCTCTCTTTTACACCAGGAAAAACTGCTTCCCTGTCGGGTTCCGACCCATCTCTAGGGATGGGAGCCAGGGCCTCCTGGTGCTTCCTAGGCCAGGGTCAGCTGCAGTAAAGCTGCCCTCTCAGGGCCCGGCTGGCCTGAGCCTGCTGTTTGGGAGTTGAAGGTAGTGAGGTGAAGAGTCAGAGCTCTCAGCAGGCCCTACAGCGAGGCCTTTGATTCTGCTCTTGTCTACAGCTCCAGCCCACTGCTGGTGGCTGCCTGGGGTGCTTGCACGCTCACAAGGGAGTGTAATCATCAGGCCTTCCAGAAGTACGGCCGCTCCACCACCACTACCGACATGATCGCCGAGGTAGGAACGACCTTCAGCAAGCTCTTCACGACCTGAGCCAGTGCAGACTGAGGGGTGCCACAGACTGTCCTCCATGTACGGGCCGTGGGCTCAGCTGCACACAGCTAAACTAGCTGACAGAGGATTCAGGACATAGCTGTCGTCTATCCTAAAATAGAGTTGATATGTTCTGACACTAATCTGGTCTTGTGCGGTTTTCTTGGCTTCTCAGCAGTAGCTGAGGAGAAAATCAGAATAAAAATCCTCCCAGCAGCCCGAATGGATCAGGGCCTGCTCTAAGACAGGACATCTGGAGTCTGTGCTCTCTGCTTCTTGCGCCCTTGCGATAGATACTAGACATGCCCTCACAGGGCTCCAGTTCGCGGGTGGCTGGTGGGTGCAGGGTTTGGTTTTCAATTGAGGTTCACAGGGTCCAGTGGGCATTCTTCAGCCCTATAGTTTTCTGCTCAGTGAGTGGGTGTTAACTTCAAGTAGTTCAGAACCACCAGGAGATCCCATGCACCTGGAGATCCTTAGAGGCCCGTGGGAAGGGCAGGAGACTTGGGGGCCCTTGGCTTAACTGTCACCCGTGGCTATTACCTGCCGTTCACTGTGGCTTCCTCTCCGCCTGCTGAGCCTCCCTCCCGAGTGGCCTGGCAACTGCATGCTAATTAATGGGCCCAGCTCTTTGGTCCCCTCGTGTTGTCCAGTCCTGGGTCACAGGGGCCAGCCAACCATGTTCAAGAATGTCTCCTGAACAGCTGATGTGAACTTACCGAAGGGAATTTTGAGAATGTGGCCATCATGGTACTGCCCAGTTAACTTTCCAGGCAGTTCTGAACACACACAGGCCCATGTTACTGTTGGCTAAATAGCCACAATTGGCAACTTTAATATAAAGTTTTCATCACAGAAGAGCAGACGCCATGACGTGGTGGCATGTGGGACCGCAGCAGCCTCATCCTCAACTTGCAGGCTTCTGGTGTTTTGTCCTTGGATCCAGCAGTTCCCATGTGGAGGTTGCACTGCCTCTGTCCTGAAGGAGAAGACTCTGAGTAGGCATCACATCCTCTTACTCAAGGGGACAGGTCAGAAAGCCAGGTCAGAGAGCAGCGGGGTGTCAGGAGACGGCTAACACCGCACTCTGGCACCCTGACAGGACCGGCTCCTTGCCCACATGGGTGGAGCTCTTCCCGCTTACACACCCTCCCCATCTGCCATCTTTTCAGAAACTGGAGGACTGGCCGCTGGCTGCCCCTTTTCTGTCTCTTGTAACACTGGTGGCCCTGCATCTGCAGTATTGCTGACCTTGACATTGATGCCGTGGGTGGCGAGGTCCTGGCGCAACGCATCACACGCCTCTAGCAAGGGCTGCCTCTCCTGGAGCTGCCGTCTCCGGGCCTCCCCAGTAGCCCCAGGTGCGGCCAGTGCATACTGTCGGACCTTCAGCCTGAAGCGCACGAGTTCATCGACCACACAGTGCAGGGTTGCTGCGCTGCTGTCTCCTGAAACACACTGAGCCTCATTTAAATGAGACACTGTCAGAGGAGTCAGCCCAGCAAGGCAGGGTGTCCCCACCCCCCACGGCCTGCTTGGTCCATGTCTATCAGTTTCCTGATGCTGTTCTTTCTGGGGAAACTTGGAGGGTGTCAGGCTAGCTAGCACCAGGATTGCTGAAGCTAAGATGGTAACACCTACTCTGGTCCCATGCAGGCCTCAGCAACAACTGTAGGGTGTGACAAGTATCAGCAGAATCCCGTCCTCTCAGGAGAGTCTAGCAGCCTAAGCCTTTTAAGCATGAGTGAAGACACACCTTTTGCCATAGCCAAGCATGTAAGCCAATGTAGATGCCAAACAGCCCACCCTGTGTGCATGTGTGCACACACTGAGCTCCCATGGAGTGATCTGTCCAGCTGTACGAACACTGCCTAAGGGGCCCAAAGGCTGGTCCCCGTTAAAGCAAAAAGCAGCTTTGTCTGGAAGCCAGCAAGAGACCCTTGGCAGGACTGCCACTACTCGAGAGTGACACTAAGCAGCCTTGACAGAGGTGTGGCCTGGCTACAGCCCAGGCGTTCCATGCTGACACAAGAAAAGTGCATGTAGAATGCATTGGGAGGATGGCTCTGAGCCCCTGCCTCGTCCCTCCAGAACAGCCCTAAAGCTGGCAGGTGCAGCAGAGTGACGTGAGGGAGGAGGAAAGGGACCCTAAAAGGGACTTGAGAACCCACAGTGATGTCCATGCATGGGCCAGAGACCGCCAGCAGAAAGACCCTTGTGTGCAGAGGAGGGGCCACCCAGAGAGAAGAGCTGACCTGTGCAGCTCCTGGAGGCTTCTCCCTGGTGCTCACAGGAGAGAAGAGAGAGTGGATAGTGACCCTGGGCTTCAGGGTCCACAGACAGCTGTCAGAGCCACCTTAGGTACAATCACGTGTACTTGGACACACGCGCACACACACACTCCCCTCACCTCCATGCACGGAGACACCTGCATGGAAACTGTACAGTGACATCCAGAGGACGATGGGACACATCAAGGGAACGTGGCCAGCACCACAAGCCATGTACTTCACGGGAACTGAGTAGATACGAGACTTGTGCATTCCTTGTAGCCCAGGCAGGCTGGCTTCACAGGACCAAGACATCTCACTTAGAAGGGAGGAGAGGGTTGCGGAAGGACCTGGTGGCCTTGCCCTGTCCATTTGGTACAGCTGAACATCACAGGAAGGGACAACCAGGATCTGGCCCCAGCATTCATATAGAGCCAACACGACACAGACAGGCGGGACCTCACACATAGCTGGCTTACATCAAGGTCTTGGAAGGCAGAATCATCCCTGTTCTGTGAAGGAACCCACTGGACAGGTGGGGAAGCCAGAGGGCCTCCTGCAGCCAGAGAGATGCCAGCTGTAGGAAACGGGACCCACTCATGCCCACTGCCATCTCTTATGGCTCAGGAAATGCCCTCACATGCACCTTTCTGTGCTTGGGTACCAAAACAACTGGTAGACGGGGGCTGACTGCCGCTCTGCTGCAAGCTGGTCAAGGGTAGAGGGTCAGCTACAGGAACTGTGCATCTCCGGTATGTGAGCCGGGGACCAGCCGTCCTTCAGTGGACACTTTCCAAAGGAGAGTGGCCAGTGTGCAATATGTAGGCAGTCTGAGAACAAAGCATTTGAAAGAGATGGATATACCTGTCGATTTGCCAGAGAAATCCCAACGGTCTCGAAAAACTGCTCAACGTAGGAGATGATGGCGCCAAACACAGTGGGACTCCTTGGGCCAGCAGCTTCCTGCAGGAGGGTGGGTGTGAGGTCAGAGCATCTGCTTTGGCTTCCGTGGGCTCCCGCACAGCCAGGCTCACTGGCAAACCCTACCGTCCAGGCACGCTGATAACGTGTGCCTCTGCCTGCCTTTCGCACCATGGCAGGACCTTACACATCGAGATCCTGTGGGTTAAGCACGGTTGTGGGTACGGTGCATGGGGCATGGTAGAGGGAAGGTCATGGGAACTGTGGGTCTCAGATTGGGAGTAGAAAACAAGGGAATCCTGGGAAGTCTGGTGTTTGTCCACTGACTCAGAGACCCCTATGAGCCAAGCCTCATGCCTGGAATGGCAGGTGCCAACCTGTTCCCTAGTCAGCTTGTGTCCTCCTTCCCCCTAGAGGTACCCAGGTGGTGTGGGAGTCACAGGAAGTGAAACTTGGAAGTGAAGAGAAGGCTGAGGGCAGGCTTCAGGAACTCTGGGAGCACCCACAGCCAGCTTCCCTGAGTATGGTTGGTTTGACCCACTGGTTGCCTTCGGTGTGTGTAATGTCAGCCTGAACAAGCTGGGACGGAATGCTCAGCCCCCTGGTGACCATGCAGGGGATTAAGAAGAAAGGTACCATGGTCTGTCTGGTGCCTTTATGGACATGGAGCCCCTAGACGCTTGTCAAGACACACTGCCCACCTGTGGTGCTGACAGAGTCACTCACCCAAAAGTACATGGCCACCTGGAGCCACCCCCTCAGTGCTGGATCCCCTGGACCTGCTTCAGCAGGTGGCCTGAGACCCAGTTGGGTGTCCAGGTCCCAGCAGACAACTTCACATTGTTTTGGGTTTTGTTTGTTTTTTGGAGAGGGGAGGCGATGGGTCCTGGAGATTGAACTCAGGGCCTTGCATGTGTTAAGCAAACACTTCACTGTGGAGCTACACATCCAATCCAACTTCCTGTTTCAACACACACAGTTCCCTCCAGGTGCCTCCAAGCCACCAGAAAGGCTCCTCAACACTCATAGTGGCAGTCACGTGACACAACCATCTGCTTGTCAGGAGCACAAAGCTCACACACACACACACACACACACACGCTCACATACACACACACAGAGCTCACACACACACCCGCTGCCCATGTTCATGTGTTTACTATGAAGGAAGAGACCCTCACAGAAGGGAAGGCTCACTGGGAGCTGCCCCAGTGCTTCAGGAGACGAGTCTAGCTGGTTGGTAGTCAGTGCCCATCCTTCCCTAGGACTAGCCCCCGCCCTGACATCCACAGCATTCAAGTTACCTTTGAGACTGCCCTAAGCTGTCTGTTCGCATGGTGCACAAGGTCCAGGATGGTATTCACCGCCCTTGGTGTGTCAAAGTCATTGGCGAGCGCAGCCTTCACAGCCTTCTTGGTGCTGGTCAGCCTGGAGTGAGATACGGGAGTCGGCTAGGATGATGGGGCGGGTAAGGGGCTCTCCAGCAGCCCTTGGGGACCCTAGGCTGCCCTCCACCAACTCTGAATACACAAACATCTTTCTCCAAGAAGTAGAAATGTTTTAACTCGGGGACCCTTCCTAGGTCCTGTTTACTGTCTTGTAACAAATTCTCTGAGTTACCACCTTAGCCAAATAAAAACTTGAGTGAAGGGAACCTGCCCATTTGTTGAGTGCATGGTATCCACTCGGGTGATTTTGTAATAAACGGTCAACTAGAGAGGTGACAGCCCCTCCCTACCAAATGTGGCAATTGTGAGCCACTTGGAACAAGATGGAAACATGCCCCGCTCAGATGAACACCAGCCTGTGCAGGGCTCAGAAGCAAAGGGAAGTGGAAATGACTAGATGCCAGCTCCCGAGGGAGTCTGCCTCATGCGGTTACTCCCAGGGGGGCCTCTTCATCCTAGCTACCTGTTCCCGGTGACGATGCACTGATATGACCCGCTTACCTCTCCCACAGCAGGTCTTCCCCAACGGGGCCACAGGTCAGCTGCCCTTTTACATAGGCTTGTGCGTCCTCTACAAAAGAGGTCAGCCCCAGCAGGAGGTGCTTGGCTTC